TGACGCGCTGCTGCTGTCAGTACGCGGCTTTCCATGTTTGTGATTGGTCAGATCGCACTCAAATACCGTCCCTCTAATGTGAAACGCGCACATAAACTAGATAGGACAAAGCTGGCTTGAATTAACGAGTTGATAACCCGCGTCGTAGACAGTTTGGTGAGAGCGGGTTGTTTTGATTAGGCCAACCGGCTAACTCAAACATATCCAGATTAGGTTGAACCGGACTTCGTTAGTACAGGACCATCTGTAAGTATTCATTGTTGTTTGTGTATTTATGATTGTGGTGTTTCCAAAAACACTTCATATAATTTGTAGGGTTAAAAATAACTGCTTACAGCACCTTTTTCAGGTGACTGTAACGTTTGTTTATTTGACACTGTCATAAAGTTATTTGGAAGTAATCTTCATCCTGTCAATCTTACATCAGTTCCTTTGGTCATGCCATCAGAAATTGGTAGAATCGCAAGGAAGCCACATGTTAGGCACTGTTAGGATCCATTTGCATCTGCATGAAAAACTTATCAATCAATGTCGTAAGTGGATTACATTTCATTGTTAACATGTTAGTAGTTCCTATATCAATGCTTATTTGATGGAAAGATGTTTAAGAAATTAAGAAAAATGTAATGTTATTACTGTATACATTACAATGCAAACTAAGGGGCTCGCGTTTGAATAAGATAACACAAGACTAAGATCGTTTTTTGCATTCTGTATTTATTGTTACAGTTTTCACTCCATGTCATGGTGAAGGAGTTACCAGTAAAGTTTCCCAACTACGGACGACGACTCTTTTTCTAATTTTGGAGTGGAGTTTAACTTTGTGTTAAGTCCTGCGGCTTTTACCTCCGGATAAGAACATTATAGTGAAAAGACAGTAGAGGATCAGTTTTTACAAAGGATAAAAATTACTTCCAGAAAGAGTGGAAAATCATCAACCTCTGGAGGAAGATCCTCAACCTCTTCATTAAGCAGTGCACCACGTGCTCGTGCTAAAGCAGAAGCAGCCAAGGTTAGAGCAGCTTATGCATCACAACAACTAAAACCAAAGCTGGAGTCAGCTAGGAGAGATGCTGAAGTACAGTTCGAAAAAACAAGAATAGATGCAGAACTAGAAGTATTAAATCTACAGTGTGAAGCAGAAGCCGCAGTAGCTGAAGCACAGGTTTTGGAAATGGCAGACGATTTCAAAGTTAAAGATGAATTCCGAGCACCAGAGTCTGAAAACAAAATGGAACACATAAGTGACTATATCCGTGAACAAAACGCACTGAAACAAAGTGCTCACCCCCAACATTCACGTGAAATGGGCCAGCCACGCATGGAGCTAGAAGAAGGATTCATACCTCAGTTGTCACCTGCTGAAGACATCGTACAACCACCACCATTTAGTAGCCTTAAAACAGAATTTAAAGCAGCCAGTGATGTTAACTTACCTTTTCCTACCAAAGCTGACAGTTACAACCAACCATACTTATCTCAGTACACGGATGGAAAATCCCAACCGTACACACCAGAACGAATAAATGTGCACGCTCAGCCCTTTATCCCGAGACAAGCTTTTCCAGCTATCTCAACACCTGTAGCAGAACCCTTGGCTCAGTACTTAGCCAGGCGAGATCTTACAAACGCAAGCTTGTACCAATTTGACGACAAGCCAGAGAACTACCGGGCGTGGTACTCCTCATTCACAGACACAATTAGTGACACGGGCAGGAGCTCCAACAAGCCGTTTAGGACAGAGAGTGAATACACATACTTTACAGAGATGCTGTATGAGAAACCAATGTGAGTTTGGAAAATTGCACAGTATAAATCAATTTTAGTATACCTCAACAATGGAATTATGATCAGTAGAAATGGCCATGACATGGGACCTTTAAAGTCAGATCCACTTGTGTCTTAGCAGTGATATCATAAACCTGTTAATGTACGCATTCAAACACTTTTTCTTACCTACCCCACCTTTAAGTCATGGATGTTTAAAGTTTAACTTCTTCATATGTCTAATATTATAGTTTACTTTTCGTTCAGGAAGTATGACGCTGCGCTGAGTTTGCTTCTCCATGTTTGTGATTGGTCAAATGTTACTAGCCCTGCCCCTTTCATGTGAACGCGCTCTCAGCCGGACAGAAAAACCCTGGATTGAGTTACCGAGTTGATAACCAGCGTCGTAGGACAGTTTAGCGAGAGCGCGTTTGTTTTGGATTAGGTAAACCGGGTAACTCAAACATATCCCGGTTAGGTTGAACCGGCTTCGTCGTACAGGCTTCTGTTCTTGATAAATGTCTCTTTAAAAGCCAATACACAAAGATTCTGACCTTCATCAATATTTTGGGGATTTGTTCAATTTTCAGGAACAGAATCTGGTCTTTTAAAAATAATTAAACACTACGCAAGCTTTGAATAATTTACCATGCATCTTTTTTGTGTTGTTATTACTAATGACACTAATTAATATGGCGGCTAACGTTGTTTACTTCCTCCACTTTAGGAGGTTTTGTTTACATATGCAAACCAAAGTCTCTTGAATTTCAGTTTGGGAATTACTTCTCTGAATTTCATATATTTTATTTATATATGTGCACACAGTTCTGCAGTCTAATGTTCTTTAAGTGGTCCGGTGTTAACCTGCCTAGGATTACCTCACACACACACACTTAGTATATAAGGTGGCAATGGGAATATTCATTACAAGACACAAACAATTATGTAGTTTAAGAACCTGGCGAGAATCTGACATACTATTCTATTCTTAGGACCTTTCTCAAGAACAAATACAAAAAAATTGAAAAAATGATACAAGTGAATGAAGCGATATTCTGAGCAAAAGGTTCAGGAGGGTCTTTCATCCCTTTCTTAAACAATAAAACTGTATCTGTCAGTCTGTCAGCATGGGATTGTAGGAATGCATTTTGTCTCAGTGATTTATAAAGCTCCCAATAGCCTTTGGATTTTGAAATGCACAGTTGTTTTACAATGGAATCTTTGAATTAGAAAGGCTATTTAATTGCATTTGTGTTTGTTTGGATTTTATGACCAATTCTGTCTGACGTCGTTTTTCTGTAACTCATTGTTTGAGCAAATGTTAACGATTTACTAAATGACCATTTTCTTTGTGTTTCAATTACAGCTGCAGACGTAATATCTCAGAAACCACTTGTTCCTCTGTGATTAAATCAAAACAGTAACATGTTTTGACTGTCTGTTGCAGCACTTACAAAAATGACACTGCTGGCCAAACGGGAAAGCGTAATTAAAGGTCTAAATGTAGACCTTTGAAAGGTTTTAGCTGCAATACATCACTGATATCATTTTCCATTATTTGTTGGGAGTACTTGCTGAGCACAGTTCTCATCAAAGCCCTCATAAAGTTACACACTTTCTTGTGTAATCACGTGTGTTGGCCAGTAAGCAGCCGTCAGACCAAAAACCCAACTCCTGTGAGCCAGCTGTGCTTCATCGTACCGCTTAATGATGAAGGCTTTCCCCTTGAGGAGCTGCTCCCTAAGCTTCTCCGTGATCATCTGTTTTCGGGTCTTCTGATGGACGCTGGCCTCGCTGCCGTCCTTGTGGCTGCTGTGGTGGGAGGCGGTACTTCCTGTGGAAACAATTTACATTTCCAGCTGTAAATGAAGCGTGACGAGTCGCTGATAGAGAGATGAGATTCACAAACACAAAGACTTAATTCAGGGGTGAAGGCTAAACAACACAAGACATGTTTTTCTAGTAAGAGCTCAAAGGATTCCTTCTCTATATTATTGATGTTATGGATATTATTGTAAGAAGAGGAAAGGCTATGCGTGCTACAAAATAACACAATACTCTCAGGGCTTTTTAAGGGGAAGAGAGTTAGTGATACATTTTCTAATATTCAGCCTCATGTTTGATTGATACATTTATTTCGAACAAGTAAAATAAATAATTACAAAACAAAAAAAATGTTGCAGTGCATAGTCATGTAAGAGAAATCAAAACAACAACAACAGCATTAGCAACATAAACAGTCCCATATCTAGTGTTCGAAAAGGAGTGAGAAGAAGTATAACTTATTTAATCTCACCCCCTTGTCCCTAAATGATTTATTTATAATCTATAATCTGCAATAATTATCATTTGTATGCATTGTTATTGATATTATTAGTATTATTAATCTGCTTTACCTGTTGATTGACATATATACATATACACACACATATTATACACACCTACATACTCACACATATACACATACACATAGTCAAACACCTTCCCCATCCCTGCACCTCGAGAAAATAATTCCTCTGGATTTCCTCTTGAACTGGTTAATGTCTGGACATCGCTTTAGCTCCACATGTTTTAAACCACTTGTCTCGTTCAATGCTTCTCAACCGTTTGGAGTCGCATTGATTGCTCCTAAACTGTCTTAAGATGCATCTTTAAATGGTAAATTGAATGTATTTTGTTAACATATACAAGTCATTATTCATTCAGTGCCAGAGGCTGCCATAGAAGATGCCACCAGCTCACACTCACAGCCACCGTTGTTCATCATCTTGCCTAATCACCCTTTGACTACAGGGATTGAACCATAACCCTCTAATTGATAGGCGACCATCTGTTAAGTAATTTTGAGCTATTTTCTATCTTTTAGTTTTAGTACATACATATATAGACTAATTATATTAAAAGCTAAAACGTTAAAAATATCTCTCCAAAATACAGTCAAATAACTGACCCAGGGTCCTCTGCCATGCAAGGCCACAGAGTGATGATACAATGTCTTGCTAAGATTGTTTTGACTGAATTACCATGAAAATGACTCATCATTAGTCCATCCTCCTTAATCACTCTTCAAATAAACCATTAGATTGTACTGGAGAACACCGAAGCTGGAATTCATATTCCATCACACCATCTTCTTCCTGAGCCACAACGTCGGCACGACACGCTGAGAAGTGGTTTATTGCTCTTTGGTTTCTAAATATCTCTATAGCTGTAGGAGCCACATATGAAGTATTTTTCTGTGTTTGTTACGGTACATGTTTTTTGAGTCACTATAGGTGGTGGGCGTGTCATTGGATTTGTGTGGTGACGTTTGTGGTTATATCCGGTTGCTTTTACCTGCGCACTTTGTGAAAGATGGAGGGGGAGTGAGCTGGAGAAGGACCATTTTTGTTGATCGCACGCACGCACGCATAAAGGAATATAGGCCGACGCATATGGATATGGAATGTTTGCTTTGGAAATAAAAGGTCAAACGCATACTTTTGGAAAGACTGCGTTTTTGCGCGTCTGTTATGACCCCCTCCACTCCACTAGAGGTCTCTGTCTTTGTGTTCTGCTTGCTGGCTCTTGTTTGTGTTTCAGGTGATCACCCTGATGAGCCACACCTGGGCCGTCTACATAAAAGGCCAACACCAACCCATACTGCGCTCTGACTCTTCTGTTGGACACAACATGCAATCATTACTGATAACTGACTTCCACATTTATTAGGTTTCTCTGAAGACCTTTGGTTTTTGTGGTATTGTAAATAAATATGCTTTTGTTACACTTAACTTGTCTGGTCTCCCATCTTTGTTGCAGCCTATGAGCCAGGCCGTAACAGCGTCCACAGTGTTTTTTCTCGTTTAGTCCCTCGCTGCACTTTGTTAGGCTGTTATTGCGGCAGTAATATCCAAACAGCTAAGCATACATTACATTGATACTATGGGCGATGTAATCCAAAACCCATTTACCATTTCCTTTTTTCTCCAAAACCCCCAGAAACAACACAGCTCAAGCACCACTAGTTTATCCAGTAGTAGAAACCAGAGACCAGAAAAGGATCCTCACCTCTCTTGGACCTCACAGTGGAGTGGAGAGATCGATGAGAAATGTGCGAGCCTCCGCTGGAGCTCTTCCGCCGCTGGAAGGTCTGCTGCTGCGGGTACTGAACCTGGACGTGACCTGAATCGATGGAGGCGCCAAAGTTTAAGGACCTCAAGGTGTGAGTGGAGCCTCTCTCACTCATCATGGAGGAGGCGCGTTCAGACCCCTTCTCACTCTCCTCTGATTTGCTCTTTCCCTCGTCCTCTGACTCGCTCTGACAGGACGGCGCTCGCCTTTCTTTGGGGTCTTCCTCGTCCCACAGACCGTGACACTGCAAAGAAGACGAGGGATTAATAAAAGCTGTATCATATTTGCACACAGAATACTTAAGTCTGATAAAGGGAGTATAGTTGCATAATTTACATTTAAAGGTCCCCTATTATACTGTTTCTCATCAATATATTATAGGTCTCAGATATATACAAACATGTCTCTGAAGTGTTTGGCTCCAAACACCAAACAGATAATGGCAGCATTACCCATAATCCTCTCTGTTTCAGCCCTTTTTCCAAAGTGCTGATTCTCTGTCTGTTACTTTAGATGAAAATAAGGAGCCCCTCCCCACGCCCCTCTGAGAGATTTGGTTAAAAAGAACACAATGGTGCTCTAGAGGAGATTCAGGTGATCAGGTGGGGGGTTACTTTGGTTGCTGATTGGCTAATGGTTACACAAGCCAAAATATCGTTATGACATCATAAAGTGGCCAAAATCTGATCAGCTCATTTCCAGATAGGTTTTTATATAAATGGATCAGGACAAAAAGAGACAGAATCTTTTTTCCTGAAACTTTCAGAATCTCTTTAAACAGAGGGGACACATGTTGATGTAGAAGAGACATGAAAAAGTGGATTTTTCACAATAGGTGACTTTTAATATGATTCTCATATTAGTATTGTCCAAATATTCATTTTGCAGGAACCTTCAGGATGGATCTGTGGAAGAAGAGAGCCAGTAACTGGACCAGGTCGTAGTGGACGTAGCCGTCCTTCTTCTCCACTCCGATGATGTTGGGAGGGTGATAAGGTTTGCTCTTATCCATAGGGTTCTGGTTGAAGGGGAAGAAGCCAAACTGGAAGAAGTACTTGATGAAGATGGTGACCTGGTGGGAAAAAAACAATATGTTACAGTGAAGCTACAGTCAGGATAATGGCACAGTTTCATTAACCATTGATATGTTAATGATTACTCTTAGACTAGAATGCAATTGTAATAATTAAAACAAATATATATATATTATTTCTTTAAGTCTTTTTATTTGTAACCATCCACTCCATTGGGTGAAACGGCTGCATTTTACTCAAGGATGGCATATTGTTTCCTTTTAATCAATACATAGCACATATACATTTTTACATTATCTTGTCTGTGCATAAATGACCAATCTTTTAACTCCTTCCTGTTTGGAGTAATTGTCATGCTCGTTTTAACTTTTTTTTATTAATTGTGGAGAGCCGATACGATTGTTATTCTAAAGAACTGCAGATTTGACTTGATATATTAAAATGTTGATCTACGCACTCAATGTCCACAAATTTTAAAACAAAATACTTGTTTGGGATGTTGAGTGTAGCTGCGAGGAAAGCAATCCCAAAGAAATGGCTCAAACCAAACNCTAACACCCCGTACCGTCGTAGAGGATACCAGTAATAAAAAAACCGCCCTCTCGTCACACCACCGGACAGTCCCGCTTGAGTGTACTCCCTTAAATGTTTGGGAAACCATTAACCAAATGTTGCCACCGTATTATTATCCTGCTAGCCAGGCAAGACACTAAAGGTCCGTGTGTCGACTACATAATCCAGTACATCTCACTCTACTTCAGCGACAGGAAATTCTCTCGCTCCTCTCTCTCTCCTCCACACCGAACACGGTACACACAAACACCTACCATCTCGCTGTCACTCTTGGGATACTCCTTGCACACATAACAAAGACCTTTCACTTTGCTCCTGTCGGTCCTTTTGTCTCCAGACACTACATAAAACACTTTGTCTTCTTGTCGATTATTCACGATGCCTAACAACAAGAGAAATACAGGAAGAACGGGAGGACTGATGACATCGGCGTTAAAAACAGAAACAATAAACATACAACACATAACGTGACCTAAATCAAAGTGCGTTTACGACCAATACCCAGAATCAAAGGAGCGCACACTATTGCATAGCGTTACTGGTAAAAAACAGAAACTATTATACTCCTCGCACAAAAGGAAACGTCCATTCCCGAGACCGCCCCGATAATAAAGGAACACCATCCACACGGCACTCCAATCCGAAAAACAGTGTACCGAATCCTTGTCAGGAGGTACCGGTGGACATCTGTTATAATCTCTGTTCTGATCTGTCGTTACAGCTGCTTTTAGTACCGTACTAATTTGTATAAAAGATTATATAATAAAAAAAAATAAAAAATAAAATAAAAAACATTAGAAAAAATAAAGACGACGGTGATCCACCCCGACACGGCGCAGGGTGACGGAAATACCTGGTACAAAAACAGTAACAAGAACCAACGAGTAAACTACTCCGGGGTCCTGTAGAATTTATTCGGTACCATTACAATACAGAGTTAAACACAACTAATAACGTGCCCAGAGATGCCCAGACCGGCCCCCAAAAGCAAAAATAATAACCCAAATGACTAAACAATAGAACGAAAACATTAACACATACACAAAAAAAATCCAAATTAGGATTGAAAAACATACCTCCTTTAAAAGATTGAAACCCTATGGTACACGATGAAACAATCCAAACCACTACTCGTAGTACTATCTTGGCATTGAATATGTGAATTCGGACCATCATCAACTATTGAATAATTGTAGTGACTACAGTCATGATATCAATAAGTTATTCAGATAGAAAACACTATTTCCCTTCTTCGTTCACAGAAACCTGTCTATGAATTGGGGTTTTTACGAGTTCCGTGGCGTTAGTCATGACACTCCACACACATTACTCGAAAATCTAATCTACAAATAGACATGCCGTCGAAAACAACACACATCACGAAACAACTCTCTCCTCTATTCTATCTCTCCTCGAAACATATGTACGAGGGCTGCCATCCCCACCATACGTCATCTCACATCATTCAGAGCTGATTGGCTGTAAGTACGTGTGCCGCGAAAAGTGTGGTGTGTGAAGAGGAGAGAGAGACGCGTCCCAAAACCAGGAAGTAAGCTGCGCATTGGTTCCCTCCACAAATAGCAATGAGATTTCTCCATAGGATTTTAGAAAATAGCTCAAAATAAGATCTGTGGGAAACGTACCTGTTAGATAAATGCACGTTTTGTTCAGCAGGATAATATCCACATGTCTACCCTACTTTTATAATTTTCGAATCATAAATCTATCGATTAGATTTATGATAGACTTTTTGAAACTACAAGAAGATAAGGAGGACTTTTACAAACAAGTAATAGAGATTTTTGTCCAGAAGGATAGACCAATGGACTTCAAGTCAAGGTAAGACCACCATCTTATTGAAAATGGGATCTTACTAAGAGAGAACAATTCAATATTTAAATGATAAAATTACATTTTTTGGGTATCCTTTTGTTGAACTGTCTGTTTAAAATTAATCGAAGCATCAGACTAAAAAAGCTTTTGAAAATAATATTATATTTTGATTTAGGCCAAAATATTATATTTGTAAACCTGAAGAGTCAGTGCCAGTGCGTCACCAGCCATGAACCTCACTGCAGAAGCTTATATATAGACATCTAAGTTTTCTGTGCTCCACCACTTTTGTACATATACATGTCCCACTGATTGTGGGACATGTAGTTTATGGGCAACCTGCTTCTGTAAAGCGGCATGTAACCGATAATAAACGTATTATATTCTTTGTAAGCTCTTGCGGCAATGCGGGGCCACATAAAATGAAGTCGCGGGCCGGATTTGGCCCCCGGGCCTTGAGTTTGAGACCCCTGATTTAGAAGGAAGAATTGAATGTCCTTTGTAATATTTTATGATGAAAAAACCTAAAGATAAATCTAATTGTTATTTGTTGTTCTGTTAGATTGCTGTGTTGTGTTTTCCATAAATGTTGCCTTTGGACTTGACAACGGTTGAATGATTGGAAATGTTGGTTTGAACTAGTTGGAATTAATCCTACGCAGCCCCTAGTGTAATATAATTATACGAGCAGTATCACATGGGTAGATACAAGCATACATGATGCACGGACAACATGTGCGTACCTTTGCACGGACCAGGCCACGGTGATAGGGAAATCCTCGTTGCTGCTCAGCATTTCGATCAGGTTGTTCCTGCTGGGCGGGCTGATGGTCCACAGGCTATTGGAGCTGCCTTTCAGCTCTGCGATGATCAGGTCCTCCTTGAAGTAGCGCTCGAGCCACTGCAAGGCAGTCTGATAACCACAGCATAAACAATATTAAAACATTTGAGCCATTTGGTGTAGCACTATCAGCCAAACACACAGAGGTGGGACTCTGAGCAGGAACCTCTCAATGAGGGAGAATTTCACCAGCTTTTTTGAATTATATTTCTCATACTCACATCGTTATCCTTGTATTTCAGACGATACGAGTCAAACTCGGTTAGGTTCACATTCTGCAGTTGTTTTTGCTGAGCGCTCATGGTGAAGATGGGCTGTGTGAAAAGGAAATGTTTGTTTATTTAAGTAATTACACTCTAAGTCTTCCAAAAAACATAATTATACATTGAACGCTGCAGCTAGGTTATTCTCACTGTTTAGAAAATATCATCTTAATCCTCTGGATTCTCTCCCAGAAATCACGCAAACTGATCAAAAAGTGACGAGCCATTAAAATAAGGACTTCAATGAATCACAGATGTATTTACTCCCTGTACATCTACTTGAACTCTTTTCAAATCACGCAGGATTAATGTAATTACAAAGGATTTTGCTTTGGTGGGAGATGTATCAGTAAAGCACTTTGCAAGAATGTTTAAGCTCGATTTACTTGATGAAAGAAACTCTGCTCACCGTAAAGCCAGCCAGTGTGATTGCAAAGGACACGTCCAGCGGCGTGTTGACGACTCCAGCCACGGACTTGACGAGGGACATGAAGAGCAGCGGGAACCACACGATGCAGATCAGCAGCGCCACGATCATCCCCCCCATCCCGTACTTCACCACCGCCTTCTTCTTCTGGCCTCGCGGCTGGGGGTACTTCTGCAGACGGACGCAGAAACAGGACGTTAAGATTAAGATGTTATTCGGCCAAAAAGAGGCTTTTCCTGTAGTATTTCAAAATATCTCAATCATTTTTTTCCCGTAATGGAAACATGTTTTCTATCCCTGGACCTATTTGTTGATTTGAATCACGCAATTAAGTAAGTAAGTAAAGTTGATTTATAAAGCGCTTTTCACAGACAAAGTCACAAAGTGCTTGACAAAACAATAAGACATCCATATAGGAGGCGTACAACGATCAATGAACCCACATGTTAAGAAGTCATAAAAGCACCAGAGCATAATTTAAGACACAATAAAAACACAATAAAACAGAAACTTACAAATGAAATTTAAAAACAAACAAAAATAAAAACATAGTATTAAAAGAAGGAATTAAAAGGAAGCACACCGGTTACCCAAACGCCTGACCAAACAGGAATGTCTTTAAAATAGTTTTAAAAGAGTCAACAGACTAGATAATTAAGTCCTAGTTCGCAGAAGCATTTTTCAAACTTTGTATTTAAGGTATTGAATATGAACTTTTGTTTAGCTGTAGACCCTATAACAGCTGCTTCTCGAGTTATATAGATCATATTGAGGAGGAAACTAGCTCAGATTGAATTGTTAGAATATTTTTCAGTCTGCTGGCTTTAAGATTTAGAGAAAAATAAGATTCTCATTAAAAAGACAGAAGGTTAAAGGGCCTGTTGTGCTTTTTGTGGTTTCCCCTCTCCCATAGTGTGTGATATAGGTTGTTGTGCATGTAAATGGTCTGCAAAGGCTAAAATCCACAAAAAAACAATAGATCCGGCTCCACAGAAGCACATTTCAGCATGAATTCCACCATGACAGACTCTGGCTCTGAAAGTGGTTCTCCACACTGACGGCACAATGATAAACACCTTCTCAGACTCTCTCCAGCACTTCAGGATGAAGATGTGAGCGTAGATGTCCTCCACACAGATCCAGCTGGACAGAGACAGTGAGGTGTCCGTCCAGACCCAGTCCATCACGGCCCGCAGCTCCGTCAGGAACGGCACCATACGGAAACTACACACAACACACAACAGTTAATCTGTTAACAAATATACGAGGTGAACAAAAGTACGATTGAATTTCTTAAATCACTCTAATTTGTTAGTTGTGTACAAGAGAATAACAGGCCTACTAATATAAGCTATGGTGTTTGATGTACATGTTTATATATTATAGAAATAAAACACTTTTGTTGGTTTATGAACACCTATATTCTATTAAAAATAGTAAAACAAAGTTATTTGACTTAACAACCAACACTGGCAGCCACGTGGCGACGACTTCCTTTTTTATACTTAATTACTTACCTACAGCCCTTTCAGAAAAATAAATCAATAAAATAAAATAAATTGCATACCCAGACGTTTGTATTATTCATTAAACCCCAAAAATGATATATATATATAAGACACCTAATTTTAACCTACACAGATAGATAATAATCTAGTTATTTAAAGTGTCGTTTCTAAATGTGAAATGTATTTAATCAATAATAAGCTTTATATGAAATAATAATGGCAGGACAAGGGTTGAAACTAATGCCTACTTTCATAATTATTTAAAGATTTAGTCAATAAACGTTAACTTGACTTATCATTTCAGCACTAAATGTAATATTAAAGACCTGAACACGTAAAACATGGGGTGCACAATAGGCTTAAGTGGATTTCCCCTTTAAGTAAATGGTTTCCACATCTCTGAAACAGAAAGCCTCAGGGGGAATCTTGTGTGTCTCTTTGTATTCCCGCAGCAGCAGCTAGACGACCGGAGCCGTGGCCCTGTTTGCCCAGCTGGAAGAAATGAGACTCCCAGATGAACTCACCCTTGAAACAGGAAGAGGTTGGCATAATTGTGGCCCTTGGTGAGGAAGTTTCCCAAAATGCGGGTGGGATAACCACAGCGGATCTGATAGGCTGACAGCCCGAAGTAGATGCACTTGACAAAATACCACATCTGAGCGACCATGTTCTCGCTGAAACGCCTACGAGGGGAAGACAAGAGAGACAGCTCGTGAAATAGAAGGATGTAGTAGTTTGGTCATTTTATTTTATTTTTAGGCAGCCTGAATAATCTCAAATATGTTGTTTGTTAAATCTTTGCAACAAAATAACATGAGTGCAAAAAGTCATTTCAGAGATAAAACATTTATTTAATACATCTTATAATAAGGTAATAATCTATTTGATATGTAACAGACAGAAAAGAGATACAACAAACATGCACCAAAGACACAGAGAGATAGTTTATAGCAAATAAAAAAGTGGTTATAGTCGTTCCTACACCAAACTGCTCACAACAAGGTCCGTGGATCTTCAGTAAGTCGTGTGGAGTAGAACAAATATATATATCTTGCACGCAAAACTATCTAGATCGTAAAAAAGCAGTACAAAAATATTGA